ATTCACCGAAAAATCTGTACTCACTAGGCACTACATGCAAAGGCTCTAACCAACTAACCTACTCAAGAAATATACAAACTCCCAAGGAGTAAGGGACTCTATTGCGGTGGATGTATCTTTGGCCTTTCGGCTAAGGTGAACCACTTACGTATTGTTTTTGTCTCATTTACATAGCCCACTCCCCTGTTGATCAGTACATTCATTCTACCTCCCTCTCTGGACTATATAACCATTGTTCTGCACTTGGACTAAACATTTCCGAGCAGTATCAAATAGAATCCAATCATCCCAGCCTAACTTTTGAATTGGAAAAAAAAAATAGTGTACAAGAAAACTGGACGCGCCATACAATGAACATAGGAGGAAAATGCGAAGTCATGAAAAACCATTGCTAAATGTGTGCTTTTGCATGGGTTTGTTGGATCTTCCAGAACACTTCATATGAACATGGTTGGAGAAGGAAACACTTCCATCGAGGTTACTTAGCTGCTTTAGATTTAGATTCCTGCTCTCCCTGAATTATTAATAGGTCTAAGTAATGGATATAGTTAGCTAGAAACAAATGTGTTTGTTTTGGAAGGCAAAATGTTGCAGATTTATTATTCATCAAAGCAATTTACCTTATTATTCATCTGCACCTTGGCTTTATCAACCTGTCCACAAGCAGCCTGAAATACGAGTTCCAATTAGTAACCAGAGTCTAGCAGTAAAATTTTCTCTGTATTCTTTTCTCAAGAACAATTAGAAGAGTTCAGAAATTATATATCATCACCTTGCTTCGAGCTGTAAGAACTGAAGTAAGAGTTGGAGCTTTCTTTCTAGAGGACCCTTCACCAGACCTTTTCTTGTTCTGAGTGTTCTCATTCTTGTTCTCTTTTTCAGTATCAGAACTAATCACATTCACATTTTCAGGTTTCGGTTTGACAGTAACTTTCTTCTGAGCTGGCTTCCGTGCTTCGGCTCCTTTAATCCCTTTGGCTCCTCCCACATTCAGAGCCACTGATTTCTGAAAACCAAANAAAAATCCTCAATAGGATTGCTAGAAAAACATCCACGCCACGCATCCACAACTAGAGGCAAAAAGGAGGCTTCCTCAGTCCACATATCCAAAAATTTAAAATAAGAAATTCTATTATGCCCTTCTTTTTCCATGATCTTTACCAATAAAGGACAATGATCTGAGCTTCCTTTTGCTAAATGTACCACATGAGAGTTATCAAACCTGGCAGACCAAACAGGATTTAAAAAAACCCTATCCAAACGTTGCCACATTTTTGTTCCCCCATGATGATTGTTACACCAAGTGTAGCTACTACCCTCAAAACCACAATCCACCAGCCCAGCCGAGTGTATACATTCACCAAACTCCTCCATCGCAACAACAGAAGGATAAGCACCCCCCAATCTCTCCGCAGAATTCAATACCGTGTTAAAATCTCCCATTAGTAACCAAGGCAAAGAAAAGGAAGAAGAAATCACTTGTATGTGTTGCCATAAAGGCCTCCTCAACAAATAATCGCAACAAGCATACACAACTGTCAAAATAAATGGGTCAAAGTTATCATGCAATGCTTTAAAATGATAAAAATTTATTGGGATAATATGATGATAAAAATCAAGCTTATGTCAAACTCCTCCTCCCCTATGTTTCTACCTCCACTAACAGTTAAAGTAGACATCTATTTTGTAATAATATATCACAACATGTTGACATAACAAAATGGAAGAAAAAAATTAAAAAAAAATGCATGAACAAAATTAAAAAAAATTTACATGTAAAAAATTTTAAAATCTATATGAAAATATCTGCACGGAAAAAAAAAACTACAAAAAATTTTTTTTAAAAAAATTTGGGTGAAAAAAAATAAAATTTTCTGTATGAAAAAGAAATTTAAAAAAAATTGCATAAAAAATTTAAAAATATCTACATGAAACAAAATTTTAAAAAAAAACTACATGAAAAAATTTTAAAAAAATTTGCATAAAAAACATTTACAAATCTGCAAGAAAAAAATAATTTTTTTTTTTACCAATTTAGGTAGTTATCGATCACAGTGGAGAATAAATTGAAGAAGAATGGATGACTTCAGTCTCCTATGTCTTCCAGCAACACTAGATTATTTTTTACCTTCAGTAACAACAAAGAGTATGATATTTATAGTGGAAAAATGATTACGTGCATTTTAGTATACTTATATAAAGAATGGTAGTTTGGACATTTTCAAAAAATTTATAGTCGAACAGTTACTTTTGTACTAGTAGAATTAAAAATTACCGTTAAAGGGTGCATTTGATTTGAAAGTATAAATCAGAAGAAGCTTCAGTGAAATTTCAGAATTGGTAGGGGGTGGTGTGGATATAATTTTTCTAAAATTTTATTATTTTACTTTAATTTATTATTTTTAAGATTAATGTCACCAAAAAAAACTAAAAGACAAATTTGGGGGGCAGGAAAGCGAAACGCCAGACGAGAAGACTGATCACGTTTATAAGTCATCAAAAAGCATGGTCCACAGCCTGACTTAAGAAAATGAAAAAAAAAAAAAAACTAAACGACAAATCTAGGGCAAGATAGCAAAACGCCAGACGAGACTGACTCAAGAAAATGACTTGGGCATTGGAACTTTTCTGCGGAAGTCCATATACATCCAAAATAGCAATCGATGGCCACCATGTGTTCAAAAATACGGAGGATGGGTATGTTTTGTACAATGAAATGTATAAACTCTAATAGTCAAGTGACTCTATAAACAAATCAAAAGATACATGTACAGTTTGATTCACTCGGTGCCACTAACTTAGGCAAGTATGGACACTTAAAACACAAACTTTTAATTTTCTTATCATACGATAATGATACGTTTGTAATCGTCATTTTATTTTTCATATATATATATATATATATATATATATATATATATATAACAAAATACAATACAATTTAAATTTCAAAAGATAAACAAAATAATTTTTACTTTTCGCTGTTAAGATGTCATTAAATTTTACTTGAAAATTAATTCAACAACTTATATTGAAACCTCAAATTTAATAAGAAAAATAAGCTATTAAGAGTGTTTGGAGAAATTTTTTAAAAATATTTCTAGAACTTATAATTTTTCGTAATCACTTAAAAAAAAAAAAGTAGTATTTGAAACTGTCCCACCACCACCACCACCACCATTACCATCACCACCCCTACTACCCCACTACTACCACCACCAACACTACTACTCCCCCACCACCGTCACCGTCCCACCACCACACCTACCCCCACCACCACATCACCACCACTACCACAACAACCACTACCACCACCACTATTGTCACCCCCTATTACCATCACCCCCACCGCCCCACCACCACCACCACCATCACCACTACCACCATCCCATCGCCCCACCACCACCATCACCATTACTATTGCCGCCACCCCACCACCACATCACCACCACTACTGTTGCCACCCCCACCACCACCTCTTTCACAACAACCACCATAGTTGTCGTCGCTGCCATTGCTGCCACCCCACCACTGCCTTACCACCACCATCCCCACTACCATCACCCCTCACTCCCACCACTGTTGCCGCCACCTTACCGCCACTGTCCCATCATCACCCTACCACCGCCACCGCTATCGCCACCATCACCATTGCCACCCACAGTTGCGACCATCGCAACCGGTCGCCGTCACCTATTACAATCATCATTGTCTCCCACCACCACCACTACTGTCGCTCACCACCATTTGCCCCCACTATAATCGGTACTTAAATTTTTTTCTCTCTTATCTATTTTTATAATTTATTTTTGATGTGAATATAAATATACTTATTGTTGACTATTTTTTATTACTTCGTGTCTTTAGGCACGAGAAATAATTAGTGTGTATGTGTGCATATATATATATATATAGGCTTTATAACAATAGTTAGTAATAACAAACGAACAATTGACTTTAGAATATTAATTATTTTTCACATATGTGCAAGATGAATTATATTTAAGAATAGTGTCATAGTCAAATAACTAGTCCATTTTAGGAGTAAATTCTCGACTTGGCTCATTTTTGGCCTATGATGAGTCGGAATAATACAGATGAATGACTTAAATGTGGCAAAAGTTTTTGACATTTATCAATGCTCAAAATTTAGTGAAGAAAATAGATAATGAATAGATGAATGAAATGGTAAACATAGTGATATAGTTGGACATGACATCTATTGAGGAGTGTCGAGACTCAAAGAGGTCTAGAAGATTGTGTTACTCCTAGAATAGATGAAAATCACTATCTTTTGTTTGCTCCTCTTAAAGACAAGCATGTTTGAGTTAATTAGTTAATTAAAGTAGATTGCTGAACACTCTCTATTGACGGGCTGCCAAAAATTCATAAGAATATATTATTATATTTTTGTGTTTTTTCAAGATTAATATAAGTAATAAAAAAATTCACATCTATTGACATTTAGAATTTAAAATATAGTTTTGATAAAAAAAACAAATACCCATTAATCAAACACAATGTACAAAACAGATATTTATTTATTGTTTTAACTATTTTGAGCTATAATTTTGGTTTTTCATAGTGGGTTAGTAGATTATGAAACTTTATAATTTATGCATATCCAATATTTTGGGTCAGTGTTTACGGCAAGTAATGATGATAGGGGTGATGGTGTCAATGAAAATTGTTGTTTCTCTTTCTGCTCTTGTTGATGTGAGAGAACGAAAAGGGCTTGCAAAGGGTTATTGTCATTCATGTACCAGAAAGTGTGAGACAAGCTCAATGGGAACATTTCACCTACCAATTGTAGATTGATATTTGATTAATAGTGGTAATGGTGAGATTTTGGTATGGGCCGCCCATTCAAAGTCCAAAGCGTTTAATGGGTCTTTGTGTGCATGGCAATCCAAACGGTTCTTTCATAGCATGCCCAACCAGCAGTTAGTATGGGTCACACCCCAAAGAAGGAGGGCCAACAGTGCCTTAATAGATAACTCTCAGCACGGGAATAAGGAGCTCGGTGCCCTTTTGGATCCTGAACCACTCCCACCATGCCACATGTCCCGAGGGACAGGAGATAGCTTCTGAAACCCTTAACGAACATGCACACCCTGGCAAGGGGAATATTTGAATGGGCCGCCCATTCAAAGTCCGAAGCGTTTAATGGGTCTCTGTGTGCATGGCAACCCAAACGGTTCTTCCATAGCCTGCCCACCCAGTAGTTAGGATGGGTCACACCCCAAAGAAGGAAGCCCAACAGTGCCTTAATAGATAAATAGATAAGTCTCAACTCCACCTCTATCCAGCTCGGCAAGAGTCAGCACGAGAACAAGGAGCTCAGTGCCCTTTTGGATCTTGAACCACTCCCACCACGTCACGTGTCCCGAGGGACAGGGGATAGCTTTTGAAACCCTTAACGAACATGCACACTAATGATAATATTTGTGCACATAACCGTTTGAGGATCGTGGGCACAATGGCATCAAATGGCAGGGGATCACTATAGAACAAAAGAAGAGGGGACTACAAAATCAAAAGGAGGATTCTAAAACAAAAGGAGGAAGAAGCCGCAAGAAACCCTAGATGAAATACTTGTATAAATAGAACACTACCACATAATAAAGAGGATGATTCACCGAAAAATCTGTACTCACTAGGCACTACATGCAAAGGCTCTAACCAACTAACCTACTCAAGAAATATACAAACTCCCAAGGAGTAAGGGACTCTATTGCGGTGGATGTATCTTTGGCCTTTCGGCTAAGGTGAACCACTTACGTATTGTTTTTGTCTCATTTACATAGCCCACTCCCCTGTTGATCAGTACATTCATTCTACCTCCCTCTCTGGACTATATAACCATTGTTCTGCACTTGGACTAAACATTTCCGAGCAGTATCAAATAGAATCCAATCATCCCAGCCTAACTTTTGAATTGGAAAAAAAAAATAGTGTACAAGAAAACTGGACGCGCCATACAATGAACATAGGAGGAAAATGCGAAGTCATGAAAAACCATTGCTAAATGTGTGCTTTTGCATGGGTTTGTTGGATCTTCCAGAACACTTCATATGAACATGGTTGGAGAAGGAAACACTTCCATCGAGGTTACTTAGCTGCTTTAGATTTAGATTCCTGCTCTCCCTGAATTATTAATAGGTCTAAGTAATGGATATAGTTAGCTAGAAACAAATGTGTTTGTTTTGGAAGGCAAAATGTTGCAGATTTATTATTCATCAAAGCAATTTACCTTATTATTCATCTGCACCTTGGCTTTATCAACCTGTCCACAAGCAGCCTGAAATACGAGTTCCAATTAGTAACCAGAGTCTAGCAGTAAAATTTTCTCTGTATTCTTTTCTCAAGAACAATTAGAAGAGTTCAGAAATTATATATCATCACCTTGCTTCGAGCTGTAAGAACTGAAGTAAGAGTTGGAGCTTTCTTTCTAGAGGACCCTTCACCAGACCTTTTCTTGTTCTGAGTGTTCTCATTCTTGTTCTCTTTTTCAGTATCAGAACTAATCACATTCACATTTTCAGGTTTCGGTTTGACAGTAACTTTCTTCTGAGCTGGCTTCCGTGCTTCGGCTCCTTTAATCCCTTTGGCTCCTCCCACATTCAGAGCCACTGATTTCTGAAAACCAAAGAAATCCAGCATGCGTCAGTTTTAATTTACTCAATTCTGCATTAAGATAACAAAAAATAAATTATGAACCTTGTTTTCGGCTGCTGCAGCTTGTGCATTAGCGAGTAGTTGTGCGCAGAAACTTCTGATCCACACAAAGATAATCAGTACAGAACCAACAGGACCAAGAAAGATTTCTTTGAACACATATAGACACGGTATAACCACCGCCTCATCTAAAAGTTCAACGTTTTAGAGAGAGGTGTAACTTTAGTATTTACCTANACATTCACCAAACTCCTCCATCGCAACAACAGAAGGATAAGCACCCCCCAATCTCTCCGCAGAATTCAATACCGTGTTAAAATCTCCCATTAGTAACCAAGGCAAAGAAAAGGAAGAAGAAATCACTTGTATGTGTTGCCATAAAGGCCTCCTCAACAAATAATCGCAACAAGCATACACAACTGTCAAAATAAATGGGTCAAAGTTATCATGCAATGCTTTAAAATGATAAAAATTTATTGGGATAATATGATGATAAAAATCAAGCTTATGTCAAACTCCTCCTCCCCTATGTTTCTACCTCCACTAACAGTTAAAGTAGACATCTATTTTGTAATAATATATCACAACATGTTGACATAACAAAATGGAAGAAAAAAATTAAAAAAAAATGCATGAACAAAATTAAAAAAAATTTACATGTAAAAAATTTTAAAATCTATATGAAAATATCTGCACGGAAAAAAAAAACTACAAAAAATTTTTTTTAAAAAAATTTGGGTGAAAAAAAATAAAATTTTCTGTATGAAAAAGAAATTTAAAAAAAATTGCATAAAAAATTTAAAAATATCTACATGAAACAAAATTTTAAAAAAAAACTACATGAAAAAATTTTAAAAAAATTTGCATAAAAAACATTTACAAATCTGCAAGAAAAAAATAATTTTTTTTTTTACCAATTTAGGTAGTTATCGATCACAGTGGAGAATAAATTGAAGAAGAATGGATGACTTCAGTCTCCTATGTCTTCCAGCAACACTAGATTATTTTTTACCTTCAGTAACAACAAAGAGTATGATATTTATAGTGGAAAAATGATTACGTGCATTTTAGTATACTTATATAAAGAATGGTAGTTTGGACATTTTCAAAAAATTTATAGTCGAACAGTTACTTTTGTACTAGTAGAATTAAAAATTACCGTTAAAGGGTGCATTTGATTTGAAAGTATAAATCAGAAGAAGCTTCAGTGAAATTTCAGAATTGGTAGGGGGTGGTGTGGATATAATTTTTCTAAAATTTTATTATTTTACTTTAATTTATTATTTTTAAGATTAATGTCACCAAAAAAAACTAAAAGACAAATTTGGGGGGCAGGAAAGCGAAACGCCAGACGAGAAGACTGATCACGTTTATAAGTCATCAAAAAGCATGGTCCACAGCCTGACTTAAGAAAATGAAAAAAAAAAAAAAACTAAACGACAAATCTAGGGCAAGATAGCAAAACGCCAGACGAGACTGACTCAAGAAAATGACTTGGGCATTGGAACTTTTCTGCGGAAGTCCATATACATCCAAAATAGCAATCGATGGCCACCATGTGTTCAAAAATACGGAGGATGGGTATGTTTTGTACAATGAAATGTATAAACTCTAATAGTCAAGTGACTCTATAAACAAATCAAAAGATACATGTACAGTTTGATTCACTCGGTGCCACTAACTTAGGCAAGTATGGACACTTAAAACACAAACTTTTAATTTTCTTATCATACGATAATGATACGTTTGTAATCGTCATTTTATTTTTCATATATATATATATATATATATATATATATATATATATAACAAAATACAATACAATTTAAATTTCAAAAGATAAACAAAATAATTTTTACTTTTCGCTGTTAAGATGTCATTAAATTTTACTTGAAAATTAATTCAACAACTTATATTGAAACCTCAAATTTAATAAGAAAAATAAGCTATTAAGAGTGTTTGGAGAAATTTTTTAAAAATATTTCTAGAACTTATAATTTTTCGTAATCACTTAAAAAAAAAAAAGTAGTATTTGAAACTGTCCCACCACCACCACCACCACCATTACCATCACCACCCCTACTACCCCACTACTACCACCACCAACACTACTACTCCCCCACCACCGTCACCGTCCCACCACCACACCTACCCCCACCACCACATCACCACCACTACCACAACAACCACTACCACCACCACTATTGTCACCCCCTATTACCATCACCCCCACCGCCCCACCACCACCACCACCATCACCACTACCACCATCCCATCGCCCCACCACCACCATCACCATTACTATTGCCGCCACCCCACCACCACATCACCACCACTACTGTTGCCACCCCCACCACCACCTCTTTCACAACAACCACCATAGTTGTCGTCGCTGCCATTGCTGCCACCCCACCACTGCCTTACCACCACCATCCCCACTACCATCACCCCTCACTCCCACCACTGTTGCCGCCACCTTACCGCCACTGTCCCATCATCACCCTACCACCGCCACCGCTATCGCCACCATCACCATTGCCACCCACAGTTGCGACCATCGCAACCGGTCGCCGTCACCTATTACAATCATCATTGTCTCCCACCACCACCACTACTGTCGCTCACCACCATTTGCCCCCACTATAATCGGTACTTAAATTTTTTTCTCTCTTATCTATTTTTATAATTTATTTTTGATGTGAATATAAATATACTTATTGTTGACTATTTTTTATTACTTCGTGTCTTTAGGCACGAGAAATAATTAGTGTGTATGTGTGCATATATATATATATATAGGCTTTATAACAATAGTTAGTAATAACAAACGAACAATTGACTTTAGAATATTAATTATTTTTCACATATGTGCAAGATGAATTATATTTAAGAATAGTGTCATAGTCAAATAACTAGTCCATTTTAGGAGTAAATTCTCGACTTGGCTCATTTTTGGCCTATGATGAGTCGGAATAATACAGATGAATGACTTAAATGTGGCAAAAGTTTTTGACATTTATCAATGCTCAAAATTTAGTGAAGAAAATAGATAATGAATAGATGAATGAAATGGTAAACATAGTGATATAGTTGGACATGACATCTATTGAGGAGTGTCGAGACTCAAAGAGGTCTAGAAGATTGTGTTACTCCTAGAATAGATGAAAATCACTATCTTTTGTTTGCTCCTCTTAAAGACAAGCATGTTTGAGTTAATTAGTTAATTAAAGTAGATTGCTGAACACTCTCTATTGACGGGCTGCCAAAAATTCATAAGAATATATTATTATATTTTTGTGTTTTTTCAAGATTAATATAAGTAATAAAAAAATTCACATCTATTGACATTTAGAATTTAAAATATAGTTTTGATAAAAAAAACAAATACCCATTAATCAAACACAATGTACAAAACAGATATTTATTTATTGTTTTAACTATTTTGAGCTATAATTTTGGTTTTTCATAGTGGGTTAGTAGATTATGAAACTTTATAATTTATGCATATCCAATATTTTGGGTCAGTGTTTACGGCAAGTAATGATGATAGGGGTGATGGTGTCAATGAAAATTGTTGTTTCTCTTTCTGCTCTTGTTGATGTGAGAGAACGAAAAGGGCTTGCAAAGGGTTATTGTCATTCATGTACCAGAAAGTGTGAGACAAGCTCAATGGGAACATTTCACCTACCAATTGTAGATTGATATTTGATTAATAGTGGTAATGGTGAGATTTTGGTATGGGCCGCCCATTCAAAGTCCGAAGCGTTTAATGGGTCTCTGTGTGCATGGCAATCCAAACGGTTCTTTCATAGCATGCCCAACCAGCAGTTAGTATGGGTCACACCCCAAAGAAGGAGGGCCAACAGTGCCTTAATAGATAACTCTCAGCACGGGAATAAGGAGCTCGGTGCCCTTTTGGATCCTGAACCACTCCCACCATGCCACATGTCCCGAGGGACAGGAGATAGCTTCTGAAACCCTTAACGAACATGCACACCCTGGCAAGGGGAATATTTGAATGGGCCGCCCATTCAAAGTCCGAAGCGTTTAATGGGTCTCTGTGTGCATGGCAACCCAAACGGTTCTTCCATAGCCTGCCCACCCAGTAGTTAGGATGGGTCACACCCCAAAGAAGGAAGCCCAACAGTGCCTTAATAGATAAATAGATAAGTCTCAACTCCACCTCTATCCAGCTCGGCAAGAGTCAGCACGAGAACAAGGAGCTCAGTGCCCTTTTGGATCTTGAACCACTCCCACCACGTCACGTGTCCCGAGGGACAGGGGATAGCTTTTGAAACCCTTAACGAACATGCACACTAATGATAATATTTGTGCACATAACCGTTTGAGGATCGTGGGCACAATGGCATCAAATGGCAGGGGATCACTATAGAACAAAAGAAGAGGGGACTACAAAATCAAAAGGAGGATTCTAAAACAAAAGGAGGAAGAAGCCGCAAGAAACCCTAGATGAAATACTTGTATAAATAGAACACTACCACATAATAAAGAGGATGATTCACCGAAAAATCTGTACTCACTAGGCACTACATGCAAAGGCTCTAACCAACTAACCTACTCAAGAAATATACAAACTCCCAAGGAGTAAGGGACTCTATTGCGGTGGATGTATCTTTGGCCTTTCGGCTAAGGTGAACCACTTACGTATTGTTTTTGTCTCATTTACATAGCCCACTCCCCTGTTGATCAGTACATTCATTCTACCTCCCTCTCTGGACTATATAACCATTGTTCTGCACTTGGACTAAACATTTCCGAGCAGTATCAAATAGAATCCAATCATCCCAGCCTAACTTTTGAATTGGAAAAAAAAAATAGTGTACAAGAAAACTGGACGCGCCATACAATGAACATAGGAGGAAAATGCGAAGTCATGAAAAACCATTGCTAAATGTGTGCTTTTGCATGGGTTTGTTGGATCTTCCAGAACACTTCATATGAACATGGTTGGAGAAGGAAACACTTCCATCGAGGTTACTTAGCTGCTTTAGATTTAGATTCCTGCTCTCCCTGAATTATTAATAGGTCTAAGTAATGGATATAGTTAGCTAGAAACAAATGTGTTTGTTTTGGAAGGCAAAATGTTGCAGATTTATTATTCATCAAAGCAATTTACCTTATTATTCATCTGCACCTTGGCTTTATCAACCTGTCCACAAGCAGCCTGAAATACGAGTTCCAATTAGTAACCAGAGTCTAGCAGTAAAATTTTCTCTGTATTCTTTTCTCAAGAACAATTAGAAGAGTTCAGAAATTATATATCATCACCTTGCTTCGAGCTGTAAGAACTGAAGTAAGAGTTGGAGCTTTCTTTCTAGAGGACCCTTCACCAGACCTTTTCTTGTTCTGAGTGTTCTCATTCTTGTTCTCTTTTTCAGTATCAGAACTAATCACATTCACATTTTCAGGTTTCGGTTTGACAGTAACTTTCTTCTGAGCTGGCTTCCGTGCTTCGGCTCCTTTAATCCCTTTGGCTCCTCCCACATTCAGAGCCACTGATTTCTGAAAACCAAAGAAATCCAGCATGCGTCAGTTTTAATTTACTCAATTCTGCATTAAGATAACAAAAAATAAATTATGAACCTTGTTTTCGGCTGCTGCAGCTTGTGCATTAGCGAGTAGTTGTGCGCAGAAACTTCTGATCCACACAAAGATAATCAGTACAGAACCAACAGGACCAAGAAAGATTTCTTTGAACACATATAGACACGGTATAACCACCGCCTCATCTAAAAGTTCAACGTTTTAGAGAGAGGTGTAACTTTAGTATTTACCTAGTAGGCACACATGTAAAGGGAGAGGAAGACGAGAGATAAACCTTGTAACAGGGCGGGAGACTTGAGGCAATGGTTTGCCATCGACTCCACGAATTGTAACCAGATTCCCAATATCACCTAGTGCACGGCGCCCTTTGGGGGCCGTGTTTTTCTGCTTAACATCCCCTGGACCTGCCTCGGCTGTAAAAAAATCATTAGGAATCACAATCAAATCATGAGAGAATATGAAAAGAAGATAAGTCTCCAACAAAACATAGAAATCAGAAAACAATATAAGCACAGACGATTGAACAAAACAAAGGGACAAAGAAGGGGCATCAGCAACAAGATGTACAATACAGATCAAGGACGAAGATTGAATTATAAATACCCAAGAATCCACTTCAATAGAGAACTATCACCAAAGGAGACATACCCGAGAGGAAAAAAAAGAACAGATCTATCATTAAATTTTACAAAATAGAGAACCTTTAGGTCAAACAACTTCAGAAAATCACACCAAAATTTAATTGATCAGAATAATTATGCCCGACGTGTATATCAAAACATGTCCTAAAGATGTACTCCACAAATCAAAAATCCAGAATCAAATCATAAATAGAAGCATATTCGTTCAATTTAAACATAGAAGAAGGCACGCAAGGAGAATGAACCAGAAACACAAATAAAGAAACATAAACTCGTTACATGATACAGAAAACCGTGTCTTGTCTTAATAGTGAACTTTTGATATCTTTGTTATAACAATCAACTGTCTAATTAATGTTCTATAAAGAATTAAAGAAACCAAAATTGTAATCCCTAAACCTTGAATCTAAAGAACTCGGTGACCTATTATTTGAAGTTTTGAACAATAAGGAAGAACTCATCAACCAACACAAATACATATGAGTGTCTGTGTTTGTGTGTATATATATTTATATATATATGAATTTGTCTGTCCGTCTAGACTCCAGAGAGAGAGGAATTGTATAATACCTCTGTTTTGCTGTTGGACAACGGGTCTTGAAGCCATCTCAGAACCTTGATTCTTCCAAGAACTCCTCCAAATCTTGAAGATAAACACGCCACAAACCCGTATTCGCGCCTGCTAAACCGTCCCTCTTCTAGGTCTGTGATCGCCTCTCTCTCTCTCTCTCTCTCTCTCTCTCTCAGATGAATTCTTTCTCAGCAATAAAAAATTTGGGGACTTAGAAGACGCACCTATTTGAAGCTACAGAACCGGCGCCTCAGTCCAAAAGTGCCAACGGTCTTATTTGTTTGAAATTGCAAACGTTGGATCTCTGGGCGATCGACGGCTTTGATTTGGTTTTATAAAATCCGCACCTCACAGAGCCGTCGAGACTGTTCAAAAGTTACCGTTAGTTTGCATTTTACTTATTTACCTTCGAGCAATGCGCACATCAAATTTGTTTATAAAAACAAGTGTGCAATATATTATTATCAGTCATTGGTTTAGTGGGTTTTACGATCATTCAAGAGTTGAAAATAATTTGGTGCATATATTTTTTTGTATAAATTTGGTATACATAAAATTATCTTTTATTCTAAAAATATTATGTATATATGTTGCTTTTCTCTCACTTTTGACCCACGGACACCACCACTATGAGTAACGCAACGAATCCTAATTAATTTACCAAAAAGTGAATCTCAAGTGATATGAGATTGTGTATCAATTGGGATGGTCCAAGTTTTAATTAGAAGGGGAATAATTGATCTAGATTTATTGTAAATTCAAACAATCATCCATTAACTGATGAACACGCTCTCTCTCCCCCCCTGTGAACATTGCCTCCTCCCCAGTCCCTCCCCTCTTGCACGAGTAAAAATTGGGTGTAACCAAGGGTAGATTTACACTGAGACTAGTGAAGGCAACTTCCCCCAGTGAAATAAAAAAAAAAGTAGGTATATTTGAAATTTTTAATATTTTTGTGAAATATTTCCACAAAAATGAGTACCTTTATACTTGAATAATACTTTTGAGATCTAAAAAATCTGACTTGAAAATGTATTAGGTGATGTAGTTCTAATGAAAAGTCCAAGAGTTACAATTAAAGTAACAATAAGTCTAAGCAAAAAGAGATTTTTTGTACCATAATAAAAATTAAAACTTTAAAGGTGAAATTACAATTTTTAACAAATAAATTATAAATCTGTGAGGTTATTCGATCAATCACAAAAGTCTTGATCGATTACAAATATTGTGATGGATCATAAGCTCAGGGGAGGTGTCAANTTCATATATATATATATATATATATATATATATATATATATAACAAAATACAATACAATTTAAATTTCAAAAGATAAACAAAATAATTTTTACTTTTCGCTGTTAAGATGTCATTAAATTTTACTTGAAAATTAATTCAACAACTTATATTGAAACCTCAAATTTAATAAGAAAAATAAGCTATTAAGAGTGTTTGGAGAAATTTTTTAAAAATATTTCTAGAACTTATAATTTTTCGTAATCACTTAAAAAAAAAAAAGTAGTATTTGAAACTGTCCCACCACCACCACCACCACCATTACCATCACCACCCCTACTACCCCACTACTACCACCACCAACACTACTACTCCCCCACCACCGTCACCGTCCCACCACCACACCTACCCCCACCACCACATCACCACCACTACCACAACAACCACTACCACCACCACTATTGTCACCCCCTATTACCATCACCCCCACCGCCCCACCACCACCACCACCATCACCACTACCACCATCCCATCGCCCCACCACCACCATCACCATTACTATTGCCGCCACCCCACCACCACATCACCACCACTACTGTTGCCACCCCCACCACCACCTCTTTCACAACAACCACCATAGTTGTCGTCGCTGCCATTGCTGCCACCCCACCACTGCCTTACCACCACCATCCCCACTACCATCACCCCTCACTCCCACCACTGTTGCCGCCACCTTACCGCCACTGTCCCATCATCACCCTACCACCGCCACCGCTATCGCCACCATCACCATTGCCACCCACAGTTGCGACCATCGCAACCGGTCGCCGTCACCTATTACAATCATCATTGTCTCCCACCACCACCACTACTGTCGCTCACCACCATTTGCCCCCACTATAATCGGTACTTAAATTTTTTTCTCTCTTATCTATTTTTATAATTTATTTTTGATGTGAATATAAATATACTTATTGTTGACTATTTTTTATTACTTCGTGTCTTTAGGCACGAGAAATAATTAGTGTGTATGTGTGCATATATATATATATATAGGCTTTATAACAATAGTTAGTAATAACAAACGAACAATTGACTTTAGAATATTAATTATTTTTCACATATGTGCAAGATGAATTATATTTAAGAATAGTGTCATAGTCAAATAACTAGTCCATTTTAGGAGTAAATTCTCGACTTGGCTCATTTTTGGCCTATGATGAGTCGGAATAATACAGATGAATGACTTAAATGTGGCAAAAGTTTTTGACATTTATCAATGCTCAAAATTTAGTGAAGAAAATAGATAATGAATAGATGAATGAAATGGTAAACATAGTGATATAGTTGGACATGACATCTATTGAGGAGTGTCGAGACTCAAAGAGGTCTAGAAGATTGTGTTACTCCTAGAATAGATGAAAATCACTATCTTTTGTTTGCTCCTCTTAAAGACAAGCATGTTTGAGTTAATTAGTTAATTAAAGTAGATTGCTGAACACTCTCTATTGACGGGCTGCCAAAAATTCATAAGAATATATTATTATATTTTTGTGTTTTTTCAAGATTAATATAAGTAATAAAAAAATTCACATCTATTGACATTTAGAATTTAAAATATAGTTTTGATAAAAAAAACAAATACCCATTAATCAAACACAATGTACAAAACAGATATTTATTTATTGTTTTAACTATTTTGAGCTATAATTTTGGTTTTTCATAGTGGGTTAGTAGATTATGAAACTTTATAATTTATGCATATCCAATATTTTGGGTCAGTGTTTACGGCAAGTAATGATGATAGGGGTGATGGTGTCAATGAAAATTGTTGTTTCTCTTTCTGCTCTTGTTGATGTGAGAGAACGAAAAGGGCTTGCAAAGGGTTATTGTCATTCATGTACCAGAAAGTGTGAGACAAGCTCAATGGGAACATTTCACCTACCAATTGTAGATTGATATTTGATTAATAGTGGTAATGGTGAGATTTTGGTATGGGCCGCCCATTCAAAGTCCGAAGCGTTTAATGGGTCTCTGTGTGCATGGCAATCCAAACGGTTCTTTCATAGCATGCCCAACCAGCAGTTAGTATGGGTCACACCCCAAAGAAGGAGGGCCAACAGTGCCTTAATAGATAACTCTCAGCACGGGAATAAGGAGCTCGGTGCCCTTTTGGATCCTGAACCACTCCCACCATGCCACATGTCCCGAGGGACAGGAGATAGCTTCTGAAACCCTTAACGAACATGCACACCCTGGCAAGGGGAATATTTGAATGGGCCGCCCATTCAAAGTCCGAAGCGTTTAATGGGTCTCTGTGTGCATGGCAACCCAAACGGTTCTTCCATAGCCTGCCCACCCAGTAGTTAGGATGGGTCACACCCCAAAGAAGGAAGCCCAACAGTGCCTTAATAGATAAATAGATAAGTCTCAACTCCACCTCTATCCAGCTCGGCAAGAGTCAGCACGAGAACAAGGAGCTCAGTGCCCTTTTGGATCTTGAACCACTCCCACCACGTCACGTGTCCCGAGGGACAGGGGATAGCTTTTGAAACCCTTAACGAACATGCACACTAATGATAATATTTGTGCACATAACCGTTTGAGGATCGTGGGCACAATGGCATCAAATGGCAGGGGATCACTATAGAACAAAAGAAGAGGGGACTACAAAATCAAAAGGAGGATTCTAAAACAAAAGGAGGAAGAAGCCGCAAGAAACCCTAGATGAAATACTTGTATAAATAGAACACTACCACATAATAAAGAGGATGATTCACCGAAAAATCTGTACTCACTAGGCACTACATGCAAAGGCTCTAACCAACTAACCTACTCAAGAAATATACAAACTCCCAAGGAGTAAGGGACTCTATTGCGGTGGATGTATCTTTGGCCTTTCGGCTAAGGTGAACCACTTACGTATTGTTTTTGTCTCATTTACATAGCCCACTCCCCTGTTGATCAGTACATTCATTCTACCTCCCTCTCTGGACTATATAACCATTGTTCTGCACTTGGACTAAACATTTCCGAGCAGTATCAAATAGAATCCAATCATCCCAGCCTAACTTTTGAATTGGAAAAAAAAAATAGTGTACAAGAAAACTGGACGCGCCATACAATGAACATAGGAGGAAAATGCGAAGTCATGAAAAACCATTGCTAAATGTGTGCTTTTGCATGGGTTTGTTGGATCTTCCAGAACACTTCATATGAACATGGTTGGAGAAGGAAACACTTCCATCGAGGTTACTTAGCTGCTTTAGATTTAGATTCCTGCTCTCCCTGAATTATTAATAGGTCTAAGTAATGGATATAGTTAGCTAGAAACAAATGTGTTTGTTTTGGAAGGCAAAATGTTGCAGATTTATTATTCATCAAAGCAATTTACCTTATTATTCATCTGCACCTTGGCTTTATCAACCTGTCCACAAGCAGCCTGAAATACGAGTTCCAATTAGTAACCAGAGTCTAGCAGTAAAATTTTCTCTGTATTCTTTTCTCAAGAACAATTAGAAGAGTTCAGAAATTATATATCATCACCTTGCTTCGAGCTGTAAGAACTGAAGTAAGAGTTGGAGCTTTCTTTCTAGAGGACCCTTCACCAGACCTTTTCTTGTTCTGAGTGTTCTCATTCTTGTTCTCTTTTTCAGTATCAGAACTAATCACATTCACATTTTCAGGTTTCGGTTTGACAGTAACTTTCTTCTGAGCTGGCTTCCGTGCTTCGGCTCCTTTAATCCCTTTGGCTCCTCCCACATTCAGAGCCACTGATTTCTGAAAACCAAAGAAATCCAGCATGCGTCAGTTTTAATTTACTCAATTCTGCATTAAGATAACAAAAAATAAATTATGAACCTTGTTTTCGGCTGCTGCAGCTTGTGCATTAGCGAGTAGTTGTGCGCAGAAACTTCTGATCCACACAAAGATAATCAGTACAGAACCAACAGGACCAAGAAAGATTTCTTTGAACACATATAGACACGGTATAACCACCGCCTCATCTAAAAGTTCAACGTTTTAGAGAGAGGTGTAACTTTAGTATTTACCTAGTAGGCACACATGTAAAGGGAGAGGAAGACGAGAGATAAACCTTGTAACAGGGCGGGAGACTTGAGGCAATGGTTTGCCATCGACTCCACGAATTGTAACCAGATTCCCAATATCACCTAGTGCACGGCGCCCTTTGGGGGCCGTGTTTTTCTGCTTAACATCCCCTGGACCTGCCTCGGCTGTAAAAAAATCATTAGGAATCACAATCAAATCATGAGAGAATATGAAAAGAAGATAAGTCTCCAACAAAACATAGAAATCAGAAAACAATATAAGCACAGACGATTGAACAAAACAAAGGGACAAAGAAGGGGCATCAGCAACAAGATGTACAATACAGATCAAGGACGAAGATTGAATTATAAATACCCAAGAATCCACTTCAATAGAGAACTATCACCAAAGGAGACATACCCGAGAGGAAAAAAAAGAACAGATCTATCATTAAATTTTACAAAATAGAGAACCTTTAGGTCAAACAACTTCAGAAAATCACACCAAAATTTAATTGATCAGAATAATTATGCCCGACGTGTATATCAAAACATGTCCTAAAGATGTACTCCACAAATCAAAAATCCAGAATCAAATCATAAATAGAAGCATATTCGTTCAATTTAAACATAGAAGAAGGCACGCAAGGAGAATGAACCAGAAACACAAATAAAGAAACATAAACTCGTTACATGATACAGAAAACCGTGTCTTGTCTTAATAGTGAACTTTTGATATCTTTGTTATAACAATCAACTGTCTAATTAATGTTCTATAAAGAATTAAAGAAACCAAAATTGTAATCCCTAAACCTTGAATCTAAAGAACTCGGTGACCTATTATTTGAAGTTTTGAACAATAAGGAAGAACTCATCAACCAACACAAATACATATGAGTGTCTGTGTTTGTGTGTATATATATTTATATATATATGAATTTGTCTGTCCGTCTAGACTCCAGAGAGAGAGGAATTGTATAATACCTCTGTTTTGCTGTTGGACAACGGGTCTTGAAGCCATCTCAGAACCTTGATTCTTCCAAGAACTCCTCCAAATCTTGAAGATAAACACGCCACAAACCCGTATTCGCGCCTGCTAAACCGTCCCTCTTCTAGGTCTGTGATCGCCTCTCTCTCTCTCTCTCTCTCTCTCTCTCTCAGATGAATTCTTTCTCAGCAATAAAAAATTTGGGGACTTAGAAGACGCACCTATTTGAAGCTACAGAACCGGCGCCTCAGTCCAAAAGTGCCAACGGTCTTATTTGTTTGAAATTGCAAACGTTGGATCTCTGGGCGATCGACGGCTTTGATTTGGTTTTATAAAATCCGCACCTCACAGAGCCGTCGAGACTGTTCAAAAGTTACCGTTAGTTTGCATTTTACTTATTTACCTTCGAGCAATGCGCACATCAAATTTGTTTATAAAAACAAGTGTGCAATATATTATTATCAGTCATTGGTTTAGTGGGTTTTACGATCATTCAAGAGTTGAAAATAATTTGGTGCATATATTTTTTTGTATAAATTTGGTATACATAAAATTATCTTTTATTCTAAAAATATTATGTATATATGTTGCTTTTCTCTCACTTTTGACCCACGGACACCACCACTATGAGTAACGCAACGAATCCTAATTAATTTACCAAAAAGTGAATCTCAAGTGATATGAGATTGTGTATCAATTGGGATGGTCCAAGTTTTAATTAGAAGGGGAATAATTGATCTAGATTTATTGTAAATTCAAACAATCATCCATTAACTGATGAACACGCTCTCTCTCCCCCCCTGTGAACATTGCCTCCTCCCCAGTCCCTCCCCTCTTGCACGAGTAAAAATTGGGTGTAACCAAGGGTAGATTTACACTGAGACTAGTGAAGGCAACTTCCCCCAGTGAAATAAAAAAAAAAGTAGGTATATTTGAAATTTTTAATATTTTTGTGAAATATTTCCACAAAAATGAGTACCTTTATACTTGAATAATACTTTTGAGATCTAAAAAATCTGACTTGAAAATGTATTAGGTGATGTAGTTCTAATGAAAAGTCCAAGAGTTACAATTAAAGTAACAATAAGTCTAAGCAAAAAGAGATTTTTTGTACCATAATAAAAATTAAAACTTTAAAGGTGAAATTACAATTTTTAACAAATAAATTATAAATCTGTGAGGTTATTCGATCAATCACAAAAGTCTTGATCGATTACAAATATTGTGATGGATCATAAGCTCAGGGGAGGTGTCAAGATGCCCATTAAGAAGCCCGTTAACCCAATAGAATATACCTGTTGGAAGATAATTTAGGTTATATTTCATAATTGTATTGTTTATTTGATATTTGATTTGCAACTTTAATAAGGTTGAGACTTGTAAATGATTGACAATTGTGTAAGTGTCAATCTAATGGAGATGTACTCAATTTTTAGTTATGCAAAATAGTTTTACCCATCAATCAATTTGTAATATAACATTGTAAGTCTATATGAATATTTATTAAATTCAATCAATATGAATGATTTTTTTGTTAATTTATTTTTTCATACCAATTTCATGTAATTGATGTCTTTTTGTAATTGTTATATAAAAAATAAATTTTTGATTTTTTTTTTTGTATTTTTTACATAAAAAATATTTTTTTAATAAAAAATCCGTTTCAGGCCCAATGGCATAAGGCCCGGCCCGTATTTAGCACATTTTTCACCTAATAGGCTGGCCCACAGGCGGGCCATGGGCCTTAAAATTCCTAATGGGTGGGCCCGATTAAACCCGTTGACTAATCAAAGCCTAAAGGCCGGTCCACGAGTGNTCACCACCACTACTGTTGCCACCCCCACCACCACCTCTTTCACAACAACCACCATAGTTGTCGTCGCTGCCATTGCTGCCACCCCACCACTGCCTTACCACCACCATCCCCACTACCATCACCCCTCACTCCCACCACTGTTGCCGCCACCTTACCGCCACTGTCCCATCATCACCCTACCACCGCCACCGCTATCGCCACCATCACCATTGCCACCCACAGTTGCGACCATCGCAACCGGTCGCCGTCACCTATTACAATCATCATTGTCTCCCACCACCACCACTACTGTCGCTCACCACCATTTGCCCCCACTATAATCGGTACTTAAATTTTTTTCTCTCTTATCTATTTTTATAATTTATTTTTGATGTGAATATAAATATACTTATTGTTGACTATTTTTTATTACTTCGTGTCTTTAGGCACGAGAAATAATTAGTGTGTATGTGTGCATATATATATATATATAGGCTTTATAACAATAGTTAGTAATAACAAACGAACAATTGACTTTAGAATATTAATTATTTTTCACATATGTGCAAGATGAATTATATTTAAGAATAGTGTCATAGTCAAATAACTAGTCCATTTTAGGAGTAAATTCTCGACTTGGCTCATTTTTGGCCTATGATGAGTCGGAATAATACAGATGAATGACTTAAATGTGGCAAAAGTTTTTGACATTTATCAATGCTCAAAATTTAGTGAAGAAAATAGATAATGAATAGATGAATGAAATGGTAAACATAGTGATATAGTTGGACATGACATCTATTGAGGAGTGTCGAGACTCAAAGAGGTCTAGAAGATTGTGTTACTCCTAGAATAGATGAAAATCACTATCTTTTGTTTGCTCCTCTTAAAGACAAGCATGTTTGAGTTAATTAGTTAATTAAAGTAGATTGCTGAACACTCTCTATTGACGGGCTGCCAAAAATTCATAAGAATATATTATTATATTTTTGTGTTTTTTCAAGATTAATATAAGTAATAAAAAAATTCACATCTATTGACATTTAGAATTTAAAATATAGTTTTGATAAAAAAAACAAATACCCATTAATCAAACACAATGTACAAAACAGATATTTATTTATTGTTTTAACTATTTTGAGCTATAATTTTGGTTTTTCATAGTGGGTTAGTAGATTATGAAACTTTATAATTTATGCATATCCAATATTTTGGGTCAGTGTTTACGGCAAGTAATGATGATAGGGGTGATGGTGTCAATGAAAATTGTTGTTTCTCTTTCTGCTCTTGTTGATGTGAGAGAACGAAAAGGGCTTGCAAAGGGTTATTGTCATTCATGTACCAGAAAGTGTGAGACAAGCTCAATGGGAACATTTCACCTACCAATTGTAGATTGATATTTGATTAATAGTGGTAATGGTGAGATTTTGGTATGGGCCGCCCATTCAAAGTCCGAAGCGTTTAATGGGTCTCTGTGTGCATGGCAATCCAAACGGTTCTTTCATAGCATGCCCAACCAGCAGTTAGTATGGGTCACACCCCAAAGAAGGAGGGCCAACAGTGCCTTAATAGATAACTCTCAGCACGGGAATAAGGAGCTCGGTGCCCTTTTGGATCCTGAACCACTCCCACCATGCCACATGTCCCGAGGGACAGGAGATAGCTTCTGAAACCCTTAACGAACATGCACACCCTGGCAAGGGGAATATTTGAATGGGCCGCCCATTCAAAGTCCGAAGCGTTTAATGGGTCTCTGTGTGCATGGCAACCCAAACGGTTCTTCCATAGCCTGCCCACCCAGTAGTTAGGATGGGTCACACCCCAAAGAAGGAAGCCCAACAGTGCCTTAATAGATAAATAGATAAGTCTCAACTCCACCTCTATCCAGCTCGGCAAGAGTCAGCACGAGAACAAGGAGCTCAGTGCCCTTTTGGATCTTGAACCACTCCCACCACGTCACGTGTCCCGAGGGACAGGGGATAGCTTTTGAAACCCTTAACGAACATGCACACTAATGATAATATTTGTGCACATAACCGTTTGAGGATCGTGGGCACAATGGCATCAAATGGCAGGGGATCACTATAGAACAAAAGAAGAGGGGACTACAAAATCAAAAGGAGGATTCTAAAACAAAAGGAGGAAGAAGCCGCAAGAAACCCTAGATGAAATACTTGTATAAATAGAACACTACCACATAATAAAGAGGATGATTCACCGAAAAATCTGTACTCACTAGGCACTACATGCAAAGGCTCTAACCAACTAACCTACTCAAGAAATATACAAACTCCCAAGGAGTAAGGGACTCTATTGCGGTGGATGTATCTTTGGCCTTTCGGCTAAGGTGAACCACTTACGTATTGTTTTTGTCTCATTTACATAGCCCACTCCCCTGTTGATCAGTACATTCATTCTACCTCCCTCTCTGGACTATATAACCATTGTTCTGCACTTGGACTAAACATTTCCGAGCAGTATCAAATAGAATCCAATCATCCCAGCCTAACTTTTGAATTGGAAAAAAAAAATAGTGTACAAGAAAACTGGACGCGCCATACAATGAACATAGGAGGAAAATGCGAAGTCATGAAAAACCATTGCTAAATGTGTGCTTTTGCATGGGTTTGTTGGATCTTCCAGAACACTTCATATGAACATGGTTGGAGAAGGAAACACTTCCATCGAGGTTACTTAGCTGCTTTAGATTTAGATTCCTGCTCTCCCTGAATTATTAATAGGTCTAAGTAATGGATATAGTTAGCTAGAAACAAATGTGTTTGTTTTGGAAGGCAAAATGTTGCAGATTTATTATTCATCAAAGCAATTTACCTTATTATTCATCTGCACCTTGGCTTTATCAACCTGTCCACAAGCAGCCTGAAATACGAGTTCCAATTAGTAACCAGAGTCTAGCAGTAAAATTTTCTCTGTATTCTTTTCTCAAGAACAATTAGAAGAGTTCAGAAATTATATATCATCACCTTGCTTCGAGCTGTAAGAACTGAAGTAAGAGTTGGAGCTTTCTTTCTAGAGGACCCTTCACCAGACCTTTTCTTGTTCTGAGTGTTCTCATTCTTGTTCTCTTTTTCAGTATCAGAACTAATCACATTCACATTTTCAGGTTTCGGTTTGACAGTAACTTTCTTCTGAGCTGGCTTCCGTGCTTCGGCTCCTTTAATCCCTTTGGCTCCTCCCACATTCAGAGCCACTGATTTCTGAAAACCAAAGAAATCCAGCATGCGTCAGTTTTAATTTACTCAATTCTGCATTAAGATAACAAAAAATAAATTATGAACCTTGTTTTCGGCTGCTGCAGCTTGTGCATTAGCGAGTAGTTGTGCGCAGAAACTTCTGATCCACACAAAGATAATCAGTACAGAACCAACAGGACCAAGAAAGATTTCTTTGAACACATATAGACACGGTATAACCACCGCCTCATCTAAAAGTTCAACGTTTTAGAGAGAGGTGTAACTTTAGTATTTACCTAGTAGGCACACATGTAAAGGGAGAGGAAGACGAGAGATAAACCTTGTAACAGGGCGGGAGACTTGAGGCAATGGTTTGCCATCGACTCCACGAATTGTAACCAGATTCCCAATATCACCTAGTGCACGGCGCCCTTTGGGGGCCGTGTTTTTCTGCTTAACATCCCCTGGACCTGCCTCGGCTGTAAAAAAATCATTAGGAATCACAATCAAATCATGAGAGAATATGAAAAGAAGATAAGTCTCCAACAAAACATAGAAATCAGAAAACAATATAAGCACAGACGATTGAACAAAACAAAGGGACAAAGAAGGGGCATCAGCAACAAGATGTACAATACAGATCAAGGACGAAGATTGAATTATAAATACCCAAGAATCCACTTCAATAGAGAACTATCACCAAAGGAGACATACCCGAGAGGAAAAAAAAGAACAGATCTATCATTAAATTTTACAAAATAGAGAACCTTTAGGTCAAACAACTTCAGAAAATCACACCAAAATTTAATTGATCAGAATAATTATGCCCGACGTGTATATCAAAACATGTCCTAAAGATGTACTCCACAAATCAAAAATCCAGAATCAAATCATAAATAGAAGCATATTCGTTCAATTTAAACATAGAAGAAGGCACGCAAGGAGAATGAACCAGAAACACAAATAAAGAAACATAAACTCGTTACATGATACAGAAAACCGTGTCTTGTCTTAATAGTGAACTTTTGATATCTTTGTTATAACAATCAACTGTCTAATTAATGTTCTATAAAGAATTAAAGAAACCAAAATTGTAATCCCTAAACCTTGAATCTAAAGAACTCGGTGACCTATTATTTGAAGTTTTGAACAATAAGGAAGAACTCATCAACCAACACAAATACATATGAGTGTCTGTGTTTGTGTGTATATATATTTATATATATATGAATTTGTCTGTCCGTCTAGACTCCAGAGAGAGAGGAATTGTATAATACCTCTGTTTTGCTGTTGGACAACGGGTCTTGAAGCCATCTCAGAACCTTGATTCTTCCAAGAACTCCTCCAAATCTTGAAGATAAACACGCCACAAACCCGTATTCGCGCCTGCTAAACCGTCCCTCTTCTAGGTCTGTGATCGCCTCTCTCTCTCTCTCTCTCTCTCTCTCTCTCAGATGAATTCTTTCTCAGCAATAAAAAATTTGGGGACTTAGAAGACGCACCTATTTGAAGCTACAGAACCGGCGCCTCAGTCCAAAAGTGCCAACGGTCTTATTTGTTTGAAATTGCAAACGTTGGATCTCTGGGCGATCGACGGCTTTGATTTGGTTTTATAAAATCCGCACCTCACAGAGCCGTCGAGACTGTTCAAAAGTTACCGTTAGTTTGCATTTTACTTATTTACCTTCGAGCAATGCGCACATCAAATTTGTTTATAAAAACAAGTGTGCAATATATTATTATCAGTCATTGGTTTAGTGGGTTTTACGATCATTCAAGAGTTGAAAATAATTTGGTGCATATATTTTTTTGTATAAATTTGGTATACATAAAATTATCTTTTATTCTAAAAATATTATGTATATATGTTGCTTTTCTCTCACTTTTGACCCACGGACACCACCACTATGAGTAACGCAACGAATCCTAATTAATTTACCAAAAAGTGAATCTCAAGTGATATGAGATTGTGTATCAATTGGGATGGTCCAAGTTTTAATTAGAAGGGGAATAATTGATCTAGATTTATTGTAAATTCAAACAATCATCCATTAACTGATGAACACGCTCTCTCTCCCCCCCTGTGAACATTGCCTCCTCCCCAGTCCCTCCCCTCTTGCACGAGTAAAAATTGGGTGTAACCAAGGGTAGATTTACACTGAGACTAGTGAAGGCAACTTCCCCCAGTGAAATAAAAAAAAAAGTAGGTATATTTGAAATTTTTAATATTTTTGTGAAATATTTCCACAAAAATGAGTACCTTTATACTTGAATAATACTTTTGAGATCTAAAAAATCTGACTTGAAAATGTATTAGGTGATGTAGTTCTAATGAAAAGTCCAAGAGTTACAATTAAAGTAACAATAAGTCTAAGCAAAAAGAGATTTTTTGTACCATAATAAAAATTAAAACTTTAAAGGTGAAATTACAATTTTTAACAAATAAATTATAAATCTGTGAGGTTATTCGATCAATCACAAAAGTCTTGATCGATTACAAATATTGTGATGGATCATAAGCTCAGGGGAGGTGTCAAGATGCCCATTAAGAAGCCCGTTAACCCAATAGAATATACCTGTTGGAAGATAATTTAGGTTATATTTCATAATTGTATTGTTTATTTGATATTTGATTTGCAACTTTAATAAGGTTGAGACTTGTAAATGATTGACAATTGTGTAAGTGTCAATCTAATGGAGATGTACTCAATTTTTAGTTATGCAAAATAGTTTTACCCATCAATCAATTTGTAATATAACATTGTAAGTCTATATGAATATTTATTAAATTCAATCAATATGAATGATTTTTTTGTTAATTTATTTTTTCATACCAATTTCATGTAATTGATGTCTTTTTGTAATTGTTATATAAAAAATAAATTTTTGATTTTTTTTTTTGTATTTTTTACATAAAAAATATTTTTTTAATAAAAAATCCGTTTCAGGCCCAATGGCATAAGGCCCGGCCCGTATTTAGCACATTTTTCACCTAATAGGCTGGCCCACAGGCGGGCCATGGGCCTTAAAATTCCTAATGGGTGGGCCCGATTAAACCCGTTGACTAATCAAAGCCTAAAGGCCGGTCCACGAGTGGGCTGAAAAAATCCTAGGCTGGCCTGGCCCGGTCCGACCCGTTGCCAAGGCCTACTAGTGTGTGTCTGTGCAGCTTTGCATTCTCTCATTTCCGAAATTTCTGATTTGTGGATCAAATCCTAATTGGTTCTGTTTATTTGACATTCAAACCTATGAAAAGAATTTAGGAAAAAATCTCTTCTATTTTTAAAATATAAAAAGTAATATTATTTAGTGACACAATGATGTGATAAATAAAATAATGAAATATTATTATTTTAAGGGCAAGTCTACGGTATCAAAGGAGATATCATGACAAAAGATGTAACAATTGAGGGTCAAATTATAATTTTTAGGGATTGAGTTATAACTTAAGAATAATCGACCACAAAAAATACATTTTTTAAAAGTAAAGTTGCACTTTTTAAATGTTATTCACGATCGAAATTAACATCTTATACAGTGACGTAATTTTGAAATTTTTTTGGGTAGTTTTAAAATATTTATAAATTTATAATTAATTAAAATTTGGCTTGACTAAATTTTTTTATAAATTTATTGCTACTTCTATATTTCAATAAGGGTATTTTTTGGGTCTAAAAATCTAAACTAATTTATTAATCTAATAATGTGTTAAATGACGTGGTCTCAAAAAAGGGTAATGCTACATAAACTTAAAAAATAGATTTGATAATTAAAATCATCGATTTCACCGTGGGTCCCAACATTTATTGCGACCTGTAAGGGGTAGAAATCGCTACGGATCTCATCTCTCCACTTGAAGGATTCCGGCTGACTTGGCGGCACCGAGCCCCAATAACTTTTACCTCTCTTCGCCAATAGGATNACATATAGACACGGTATAACCACCGCCTCATCTAAAAGTTCAACGTTTTAGAGAGAGGTGTAACTTAAGTATTTACCTAGTAGGCACACATGTAAAGGGAGAGGAAGACGAGAGATAAACCTTGTAACAGGGCGGGAGACTTGAGGCAATGGTTTGCCATCGACTCCCCGAATTGTAACCAGATTCCCAATATCACCTAGTGCACGGCGCCCTTTGGGGGCCGTGTTTTTCTGCTTAACATCCCCTGGACCTGCCTCGGCTGTAAAAAAATCATTAGGAATCACAATCAAATCATGAGAGAATATGAAAAGAAGATAAGTCTCCAACAAAACATAGAAATCAGAAAACAATATAAGCACAGACGATTGAACAAAACAAAGGGACAAAGAAGGGGCATCAGCAACAAGATGTACAATACAGATCAAGGACGAAGATTGAATTATAAATACCCAAGAATCCACTTCAATAGAGAACTATCACCAAAGGAGACATACCCGAGAGGAAAAAAAAGAACAGATCTATCATTAAATTTTACAAAATAGAGAACCTTTAGGTCAAACAACTTCAGAAAATCACACCAAAATTTAATTGATCAGAATAATTATGCCCGACGTGTATATCAAAACATGTCCTAAAGATGTACTCCACAAATCAAAAATCCAGAATCAAATCATAAATAGAAGCATATTCGTTCAATTTAAACATAGAAGAAGGCACGCAAGGAGAATGAACCAGAAACACAAATAAAGAAACATAAACTCGTTACATGATACAGAAAACCGTGTCTTGTCTTAATAGTGAACTTTTGATATCTTTGTTATAACAATCAACTGTCTAATTAATGTTCTATAAAGAATTAAAGAAACCAAAATTGTAATCCCTAAACCTTGAATCTAAAGAACTCGGTGACCTATTATTTGAAGTTTTGAACAATAAGGAAGAACTCATCAACCAACACAAATACATATGAGTGTCTGTGTTTGTGTGTATATATATTTATATATATATGAATTTGTCTGTCCGTCTAGACTCCAGAGAGAGAGGAATTGTATAATACCTCTGTTTTGCTGTTGGACAACGGGTCTTGAAGCCATCTCAGAACCTTGATTCTTCCAAGAACTCCTCCAAATCTTGAAGATAAACACGCCACAAACCCGTATTCGCGCCTGCTAAACCGTCCCTCTTCTAGGTCTGTGATCGCCTCTCTCTCTCTCTCTCTCTCTCTCTCTCTCAGATGAATTCTTTCTCAGCAATAAAAAATTTGGGGACTTAGAAGACGCACCTATTTGAAGCTACAGAACCGGCGCCTCAGTCCAAAAGTGCCAACGGTCTTATTTGTTTGAAATTGCAAACGTTGGATCTCTGGGCGATCGACGGCTTTGATTTGGTTTTATAAAATCCGCACCTCACAGAGCCGTCGAGACTGTTCAAAAGTTACCGTTAGTTTGCATTTTACTTATTTACCTTCGAGCAATGCGCACATCAAATTTGTTTATAAAAACAAGTGTGCAATATATTATTATCAGTCATTGGTTTAGTGGGTTTTACGATCATTCAAGAGTTGAAAATAATTTGGTGCATATATTTTTTTGTATAAATTTGGTATACATAAAATTATCTTTTATTCTAAAAATATTATGTATATATGTTGCTTTTCTCTCACTTTTGACCCACGGACACCACCACTATGAGTAACGCAACGAATCCTAATTAATTTACCAAAAAGTGAATCTCAAGTGATATGAGATTGTGTATCAATTGGGATGGTCCAAGTTTTAATTAGAAGGGGAATAATTGATCTAGATTTATTGTAAATTCAAACAATCATCCATTAACTGATGAACACGCTCTCTCTCCCCCCCTGTGAACATTGCCTCCTCCCCAGTCCCTCCCCTCTTGCACGAGTAAAAATTGGGTGTAACCAAGGGTAGATTTACACTGAGACTAGTGAAGGCAACTTCCCCCAGTGAAATAAAAAAAAAAGTAGGTATATTTGAAATTTTTAATATTTTTGTGAAATATTTCCACAAAAATGAGTACCTTTATACTTGAATAATACTTTTGAGATCTAAAAAATCTGACTTGAAAATGTATTAGGTGATGTAGTTCTAATGAAAAGTCCAAGAGTTACAATTAAAGTAACAATAAGTCTAAGCAAAAAGAGATTTTTTGTACCATAATAAAAATTAAAACTTTAAAGGTGAAATTACAATTTTTAACAAATAAATTATAAATCTGTGAGGTTATTCGATCAATCACAAAAGTCTTGATCGATTACAAATATTGTGATGGATCATAAGCTCAGGGGAGGTGTCAAGATGCCCATTAAGAAGCCCGTTAACCCAATAGAATATACCTGTTGGAAGATAATTTAGGTTATATTTCATAATTGTATTGTTTATTTGATATTTGATTTGCAACTTTAATAAGGTTGAGACTTGTAAATGATTGACAATTGTGTAAGTGTCAATCTAATGGAGATGTACTCAATTTTTAGTTATGCAAAATAGTTTTACCCATCAATCAATTTGTAATATAACATTGTAAGTCTATATGAATATTTATTAAATTCAATCAATATGAATGATTTTTTTGTTAATTTATTTTTTCATACCAATTTCATGTAATTGATGTCTTTTTGTAATTGTTATATAAAAAATAAATTTTTGATTTTTTTTTTTGTATTTTTTACATAAAAAATATTTTTTTAATAAAAAATCCGTTTCAGGCCCAATGGCATAAGGCCCGGCCCGTATTTAGCACATTTTTCACCTAATAGGCTGGCCCACAGGCGGGCCATGGGCCTTAAAATTCCTAATGGGTGGGCCCGATTAAACCCGTTGACTAATCAAAGCCTAAAGGCCGGTCCACGAGTGGGCTGAAAAAATCCTAGGCTGGCCTGGCCCGGTCCGACCCGTTGCCAAGGCCTACTAGTGTGTGTCTGTGCAGCTTTGCATTCTCTCATTTCCGAAATTTCTGATTTGTGGATCAAATCCTAATTGGTTCTGTTTATTTGACATTCAAACCTATGAAAAGAATTTAGGAAAAAATCTCTTCTATTTTTAAAATATAAAAAGTAATATTATTTAGTGACACAATGATGTGATAAATAAAATAATGAAATATTATTATTTTAAGGGCAAGTCTACGGTATCAAAGGAGATATCATGACAAAAGATGTAACAATTGAGGGTCAAATTATAATTTTTAGGGATTGAGTTATAACTTAAGAATAATCGACCACAAAAAATACATTTTTTAAAAGTAAAGTTGCACTTTTTAAATGTTATTCACGATCGAAATTAACATCTTATACAGTGACGTAATTTTGAAATTTTTTTGGGTAGTTTTAAAATATTTATAAATTTATAATTAATTAAAATTTGGCTTGACTAAATTTTTTTATAAATTTATTGCTACTTCTATATTTCAATAAGGGTATTTTTTGGGTCTAAAAATCTAAACTAATTTATTAATCTAATAATGTGTTAAATGACGTGGTCTCAAAAAAGGGTAATGCTACATAAACTTAAAAAATAGATTTGATAATTAAAATCATCGATTTCACCGTGGGTCCCAACATTTATTGCGACCTGTAAGGGGTAGAAATCGCTACGGATCTCATCTCTCCACTTGAAGGATTCCGGCTGACTTGGCGGCACCGAGCCCCAATAACTTTTACCTCTCTTCGCCAATAGGATCCTTTCCTAAGGCAATCCCACATCGGAAGAGAGTCGTCTTCCCCCCTGCCATATAAGTGCCTAGTGGGTACCTCTTCCATAGGAAGTGTTCACTTATATGGTAGGGGGGAAGACGACTCTCTTCCGATGTGGGATTGCCTTAGAAAAGGGTCCTATTGGCGAAGAGAGGTAAAGGCTACTGGGGCTCAGTGCCGCCAGGTCAGCCGGAATCCTTCAAATGGAGGGATGAGATCCGTAGCGATTTCTACCCCTTACACGACCTATTACCTATTCAATAGTTGAGATTATCAAGTCTAATTTTTAAATCTATATTTTAAGTCCATTTAGCATTATTCCTCAAAAAATAAATTCAAGAATTCTAATTAAAATAATATTATTTTAAGATCCCCCTGTCGCGTTAGTGGATTAACAATTTAGGATCGATTTTTACCCCCCTAATAGCACTATTCCTTATTAGTAAAAAATGAAACTCTTTCATGAATTAAATATTTAGATATACACTTCTTTCAAAGATTCCGCGTTGCCACCCTTTTTCAATATCTCTTTTATCTCCAATTCCATCTTTGCCTTCCACACCAACTTGCCAATTATTATCGGTCAACATATATTTGTCGTATCGCAATAATTTTGATGATTCTCATTTGACTGTTGTCTTTAATTTCTCTGTCGATTAATGCTCTCTTGAAAATTGATTAATTTTTGCTTTCTTGAAAATTAGATTTTGAAATTTGAAATTTGACTGAAGTAAATTATATTTTAGAATAAATTATCTCAGTTGATTGATTTTGTGGGATCACGTGTTTCATTTAAATATAAATAATATTGCCTTATTAGTATTTTTAAAATGATTAAAATGATGACAAAAAAATTAAATCGTTGTTAAACGAATAGTTGCATANTGTTTGTGTGTATATATATTTATATATATATGAATTTGTCTGTCCGTCTAGACTCCAGAGAGAGAGGAATTGTATANACTTGCCAATTATTATCGGTCAACATATATTTGTCGTATCGCAATAATTTTGATGATTCTCATTTGACTGTTGTCTTTAATTTCTCTGTCGATTAATGCTCTCTTGAAAATTGATTAATTTTTGCTTTCTTGAAAATTAGATTTTGAAATTTGAAATTTGACTGAAGTAAATTATATTTTAGAATAAATTATCTCAGTTGATTGATTTTGTGGGATCACGTGTTTCATTTAAATATAAATAATATTGCCTTATTAGTATTTTTAAAATGATTAAAATGATGACAAAAAAATTAAATCNTCTTTGTGTGTATATATATATATATATGAATTTGTCTGTCCGTCTAGACTCCAGAGAGAGAGGAATTGTATAATACCTCTGTTTTGCTGTTGGACAACGGGTCTTGAAGCCATCTCAGAACCTTGATTCTTCCAAGAACTCCTCCAAATCTTGAAGATAAACACGCCACAAACCCGTATTCGCGCCTGCTAAACCGTCCCTCTTCTAGGTCTGTGATCGCCTCTCTCTCTCTCTCTCTCTCTCTCTCTCTCAGATGAATTCTTTCTCAGCAATAAAAAATTTGGGGACTTAGAAGACGCACCTATTTGAAGCTACAGAACCGGCGCCTCAGTCCAAAAGTGCCAACGGTCTTATTTGTTTGAAATTGCAAACGTTGGATCTCTGGGCGATCGACGGCTTTGATTTGGTTTTATAAAATCCGCACCTCACAGAGCCGTCGAGACTGTTCAAAAGTTACCGTTAGTTTGCATTTTACTTATTTACCTTCGAGCAATGCGCACATCAAATTTGTTTATAAAAACAAGTGTGCAATATATTATTATCAGTCATTGGTTTAGTGGGTTTTACGATCATTCAAGAGTTGAAAATAATTTGGTGCATATATATTTTTGTATAAATTTGGTATACATAAAATTATCTTTTATTCTAAAAATATTATGTATATATGTTGCTTTTCTCTCTCACTTTTGACCCACGGACACCACCACTATGAGTAACGCAACGAATCCTAATTAATTTACCAAAAAGTGAATCTCAAGTGATATGAGATTGTGTATCAATTGGGATGGTCCAAGTTTTAATTAGAAGGGGAATAATTGATCTAGATTTATTGTAAATTCAAACAATCATCCATTAACTGACGAACACGGTCACCACACTCTCTCTCTCCCCATGTGAACATTGCCTCCTCCCCAGTCCCTCCCCTCTTGCACGAGTAAATATTGGGTGTAACCAGGGGCAGATTTACACTGAGACCAGTGAATGCAACTTCCCCCAGTGAAATAAAAAAAAAGTAGGTATATTTGAAATTTTTAATATTTTTGTGAAATATTTCCACAAAAATGAGTACCTTTATACTTGAATAATACTTTTGAGATCTAAAAAATCTGACTTGAAAAT